TGCCACAGTGTTAAGGTGACTGGTCAAAGCACAAAGGTACATGCATGCAAGTTTTAACAGGGCTCTAAATAATTTTAATCCAACATAATAGCAATAAATCTTTCCTTGGTGGGAGGGTACAGCCATTTAAATTAAGAATAGAGCACAGAAGCTGGAGCAGAAGACCACCAGATGAGACACCACAAAAAGGAGACTAACTCAATCAAGTCTTTTATTAGAGACTTCATGTAAAAACCCTTAGTTCTTTAAATTGGTTCTGTATAGGATGGTTTTTCTGTTAATCTGTAAACTGGTTGGAAGGACATTTCCCTTCCCCCTTGCCTTTCAAACTCTTAGTCTTTTTTTGTGTAATTTAAGGGGAAGACATGGAAAAAACAGATACATGTTTAGTACCTGGAAGGGAAAAATATTGCGAACTGGTAAAGGAGAGTATGTGCAATGGTCTCCAACCTGGAAAGAAATCTGGCAAGAAACAGACAGACTGGAATTAAAGACTAAATTTAACTAATATATCTTTTGGTTGGAAAAGGTATTTCAACCTTTGGAAATTGTTTGGAAATTCATTAGTTATTATATTTCAATAAAAAATCCCTTCATATTTGCATTGTTTAAAAATCAAGAGAAAACAGGTATTTTGGCCAAAAAAACTGTCACAAAAAGGTCTAAGTACCAGACACTTAGTCATTTATGTCTCCTAATAGAATTACATAAAAAATTATGAGGAACGAGGCTGCAAGCGGGTATCATGGAAGACCCTAAACTGTAGCTGTAAAAAAAAAAAAAAAAAAAAAAAAAAAAAAAAAAAAAAAAAAAAAAAAAAAAAAAAAAAAAAAAAAAAAAAAAAAAAAAAAAAAAAAAAAAAAAATCATACTCAAATGCTCAATATGATTCATAATCTTAGAATAACACATATTTAAAGAAACATCTGCTCTTTGACATAAAGTCCCTCTCAGTTATTCTTTGCCAAAGAGCTTTTTATTACAATCTTTGTTAATGCAAAACAAGAAGTGATGTTCCACTACAATCAAATGTGTATTTGAGGTCTCTTTACACAATTGATTTCCTGGAAAGAACATTGTGGGAGTATATTTGGATTCTAAATGATAAAAATATCTACTTGTTTAGAACAAAGAAAGACGAAAGAGGTAAGACAAAATTCCAAAGATTTGAGTGTTCTTCACCTTGAGATTTACTTGAGTTTTATTTTTGCACTTCTAATTTAATTTAAAGAAACAAGGCACTAATTACCTTGAACTACTTTTGTGATGAAACACTTTTTGGCTTATCCTTGAGCAGGGCAAGAACTGTCACTCAGAGCAAATGATTCAGGTTTTGTTTTCAGAAAGATTTAAAAATTAAGCTTTCATAAAACTATAGTAACTTCTTTTTAGTTCATTTGACCAAAGAAAATCAAAAGTATACTGAAGAACAGAATATTTTTTTCTTACAGTTAAGTTTTCCCTACTAACATCCATTTTGATCATAACTAGAGACAAAAGTATAAAGAGTTTTGTATTTTCAGTTCCTTGTCACTTCTTAGAGAATACAGACTCTGAAACACAATTAGATTTTCCAGATGAGTTCACACACTCCACCTAATAACAGAAAATGATCGATTCCTCAGAGGAATGCAACATTTCCCGCCATGCACGTAGTTGATTGTGCTGTGTTGGACCTGTGGGAAAAGCTGGAGTTTTTGGTCTTTTCAGCCAAAAGGCTTCAACCCTGAAGCATAAAATTCAGTTTATTTGAACATATATAAACATAAGACTATTCGCGCCAAAAGCACCCAACCCCCTCCTACATGTCTTCCAAGGATACCAAACTTCATCATTTCTTACAGAAGGGATTACACAGTCCACAAAGTGGACTTGCCATCCACATGTTCAGCTGTTGATTTCATCTCCACGTTATTCCCTTGAAGATGATGATGTTAAATACATAATCCCACTTGGGATACATCTCAAAGTTCCCCCTTCCCAAGCACGGGTGTGATACCCTAACAGCTCTGCAGGGTCACCTCAATGAAATGCTCCACTGAGAACAGGTCCTCCAAGGCACAAACCTGCATGATCTCAGCATCAAAATGAAAATCTATTCTTTCCATTCTCCCAGCTCCTAGTCCTCCCTCTAGGATAATAACATTTGTCACTATCCTGACTCTATACTTCTTATTTTGATTCCCATCATTCCCTCTCTTCATTTTTTAAATGAAAAGAGAAAAAAATAGTCAAGGTTGCCTCTTAAAGAAAGTTTCTTCTAATTACTGCTAACATGTCAGGATTATGAGTCTCTGAGGATATAACACAAAACCTCTTCCAAACTGCAGGTGGAAAAGGAGATGGGCAGCTGTGTTAATGAGGCAGACCAAATAATGTTCAGACACACAGATGTCCTAGTTCCCAAGCACAGAGGCCACTCTATAGTCTGATACATGGCTTTTACCAATTTGCTTTTAAATACTTATTTCCAGTAAGTCAACCCCACAGACGTGCTCTTCAAGCAGCATGTTCAATGTTTTGAGAAACACATGATAAAAGATCATCAGAAGACAGTAAGAACTTCAGCTTAAAACCCAAGAATTTAAAATAATGTTAATAATCCATTCAGGAGAGGAAAGATTTCAGATGTCACAGGTGCTATGAATAAGAAAGCAGATATTTGTGACAACTTCTTTTTTCCTGGAAGAAGAAATTATTTTCTGGAGAGCAAAACAAGTCAGAAATAGCATAATTTCTCTTTTTCTTTTAGAAACACCTATTTAGATAACATTTACCAGCTAGACATAAGTAGAAATTCACTCTGTAATTTTTCTTTACTATGCCTGAAATTAAAAATGCTGCAGAAAAAAAAAAAAAAAACCAAAACCAAAACCAAAAAACACTAAATCAGAAAGAAAGCATTCTAAAAGAAGAAACATTGAAAACATATAGATCATCACAGAGGCAACAGCAAAAATTCTGGCAGCTGTCAACACCATAAAAAAAACAACATAAGTGTAGCTGGTTTCTCTGAAGAGTTTGGAAACTATCAAACTGTAACAGTAATATCCATGACCTTAGGGGCTATATTCAATGAAATCTTTGTATATGGATTAGGTATTTGCAGACAGAGCTGTTACAAAGTTGGCAAAACAAGAACGTAGGGTGGTAACACGACATTTCCAAGCACAGCCTCCACAGCCAGCTGTGGGAAGTCAAAATCAGCCAGTTCACTTCTCTTTGCCCACCTGCTTAACATTTCCTCCCCCCTTGTTAAATCCAAGTAACTTTATAAACATGTTAGAAGACTTCAACCTGAATTTCAAAGATCAAAGTTTAACTCAACAGTTGCCATTTGGTCTCAACCTTTAATAACTTTAGGTGAAGAACAGAAGAACAATCAGTCCGAGTACCATTTGTCCCTCAGCGGCCACAAACAAACAGGCTTTTTGACAAAAAACATGGCCTTGTTAAAATGCCTCCAGAAAATAACAGGAAGACTCCTCTGGATTTTTCTGGTAACTGGAAAAAGGATCAGGGCCTCAAAAGATACTATTATTACTTTAGCTCAACTCTGTCAGTAAACCAGTTGTTCTTGATTCTGCTTTTACCAAAGGAAGCACTGCATTCTTCATGGAAAACCAGGAGAAATGGAAGGACTGAGAGCAGAAATTGTCACAAAAGGTGTGACCAGAGCTTTTATGAAGAAACAGAAGGAAAATAAGTGAAGCTATGAACTTCACCTTCTGAAAGGCTGATGCTACCGCTTAGCTGGCTTAACTGATCACGCCAGTCAGTAATTTTAAACATGGCAGGCCACAAAAGCAGATAGTTGACCTTTGTGTGTTAAATCATGCTTGGGAAATCTGCTTTCCAGTTGCAAGCACAAAGATTACCACAATGAGTGCAATTTAAGCCAGCAACATGAGTAATTTAAACTAATTTTTTTAAATGTGACTTCTAGTCCGTATGATCTGAAAGATAATGTTACCAATTCAGTGGTTTTGCTGCCTCCGCAGAGACAGCCGATGCTTCCACCTTGCTCAAGCACAAAACTAGCACAATTTTACCTAACTGCATTAGCAATGTTTAGATACATACTGACCAGAAATGCTTCAGGTTAGTATTGATGTTGTAGGAAAGAACTAAAAGCAATTAAAGTAGTCCAGAAAGACACAATAGCTATTTTTAGAGAACATGCAAAATATGGCAAGAAAGAATCAGTGCAGCTTCCCAGAAACGCATCTGTTTTTCACTGGAGAAGGTGGGAGAAAGTTCCTCCTTAAGGTGCGTGCCTTAAGCTCATCAGAGCTCTCTACAGTCTCAAGAGAGGAAAGGAGAAATGAGACAGGTAAGTTTTCAAAGAGTGAAAAACAGATTTTCGACACCAGTAATCTCCATTAATTGCAAACTCTTCCTCTTTAACCTCTATCCCTGCTCAGGATAACAAATACAGAGCTTCCCACTCAGAACTTCCCTTGACTTACAGTTTAAGGCATTTATGGAAATATAGTAACATCAGCCATACACAAATAAACAAACATGCATTAAAAATATAGCCATGTACACAGCATTTGCTCCCTCCCCTCAATTTCAGTTTTATTCAATTATGCTAGCGAAATTAGACCTTCAGACAAAAGAAGCTGCCCAGTGACTGTTAAAACCCTCCATGCCATAGCACTGACGACAGTAATTGGAGGTGGGGAGGAAGGGTAGAAAGAAATTAACTTCTCATTTAAGGACATAAAGTACTGCCTGCCTGCCTGCCCCTGATTCTGCTTTAACTGAAAAATTTGCACAGTCACACGTAGACTTTGTGAAAGAACAGTCACGTCTTAAGTCACAGATTCCAAAACCTCATTTTCTACAGTCATTGATGACCTACAGAGAAAATTTCACCACGTTACAGAAATATGGAACACCTTTATTAGGAAAACAACTTAATAGGTAACTGGGCTTTTCTTCAAGCTTTCATGAAACCAATTTAGAATTTGTCAAATAATAATTTATAAATCTTACCTGTTTTTTCCTTGAAGTTGCCTTGGGCAACAGACTGGCTGGCAAAACTGATGCAAACGGAGAGCAACACAGCTCAGGAAAAGGATTTGGAATGGCTGGGATCTCCAAAATACTGTCATCTTTCTTTTTTCTCCTATTTCAACAAAATACATAATATCAAGTGATAATTGTAACAATTATTGTTAAAATTGCAGTATCCAACTACAACGCATGAAATACCAAAGCACTGATGCTCACCACTATATTTGCTGGCTGCAGCAATTAGCTTTTTAGTGCAGTTATTTTTTTTTTAATCAGTAGGCTGAATCCATTAACATACAGTACTTAACACTACTTGAAAGCAATCCAAGCATTCAGCTCTGAATATAAAGTTGCTTGAATATGTGTAAGTCTTTGCAGACTAAGAGCACAGATATATTTATATTGGCTCCTAAGGACATCAGTAAATATTTTGTTGTCCCTGTGTTCATGCCATTCCCTGTGTACATATTACAACAGTGGACGCATGCAACTTCTCAGTAACACTTTCTGAGTGCATCACAACTGTATTTTAAACAAATGGAAACTTTTTTCCCCTTGAATCAGGAGACAGAGTGACAGACAAGACAAAACAATGCAAAGCCATACACTCGTTTCTATTTTCAATTATGTTTGTATTTGAATCTCCGTAGCTCCATCATAAAATAGATGTCTCAGTAGCTTCTGGGCACTTAAATCTGATTGTACTGCAAGTATCGCCAAGCAGCATTTGCAAGAATAGTAAAGCTAATCACTGCTGTACTTGCTGAAGAGCTCAGTTTTGCACCGGTTTAAAGTATCACATCAATAATGCTGTTGTTTATAGACCGCTGTGTATGTTACAGCGCATAGTTTTCTTATGTTATATTAAACAGCACTTTCTCTACTTGATCTCATTTGAAGAGCTGTACTCACAGCACCCCAAGTACTGGAGTCTGCCAACATATAATCAGATTTTTCTATATGTGTGAGTTATTATCTTCATTATTATCATTCCAGATTTTGCATACTAATTGGTACAGAGTGGGGAAAACCATCATAGTAAGGTAACGATGCAGAATGAAGAGGCTTCACTTTCTGGAAATCCTCACCGAACGTTCATTTAGAGTGACATTCAGCATTAAGGAGTGAAAAATCCTGTATGCAGTATTTTAAGATTTTTCTAAACTTCAGTCTACAGAAACTGATCAGATGCTTCACGGAAAGCCTAGCTCACAGTTCCCTTTGCTAAGAATAGAGGCCAATGCCTTTAAGAGCAGCCCGAGAGGTAACAAATCCCGGGCGCATATCGCTGACAGCAATTCCAGCGGCACCGCCGAGGGAGCAGCGGTTTAGCTGACTAACGTTGGGAGAAAGACACTGCAGCGAGAAAGTAGCGGCTCGGGGCCGTTTGACGAGGCAGGATCGCCTCCTTCCACCTCAAAATGGGAAACCTCTAAAGAAAAAAAAAAAAAAAAAAAGAAGGCCGGGGGGGGGAGGCTCATCCCCACCGGAGAGAAGCGCCCGCAGCGCCGGGAAACAACTTTTGAGTTCCAGGGAGAAGCGGGCCGGTCCCGGGCCAGGCCGCCCCATCCCGTCCCGCCGCTTCGCCCCCTC